GGGGGCCCGGACCCCGCACCACGTGCTAGGTCCACCCCCACCCTCCCGGGCGCTGCGGCGGGGGCTGCCCGGGGGCGCGGGCCGGTTGGCTGGACCCTGGCCGGCCGGGGAGGGGGCTACAGCGGAGGAAGCGCACGGGGGGTGTAGCTCCGGGGGGGGTCCCTGGGGGCCGCCCCCCCCACCAGTCCCCCTTCCCATGAGCCCTTCCTCCCCCCGTGGCGCCGCCGCAGGGGCCGGAGAGCTGTGTCCGGCGAGCCCGCAGCGCCTTCTGCCGGCGCCAGCTCCAGGTTCAGCACCCACGCGCCTCAGGCCTCCCGCTCCCAATCACTCCCTCCGGCACCTACCCTTGCCCTCCGAGGGACTGCCTGCCCCGCAGACCTCCCTCTGACATTACACAGGCCCAGAACCAATCTATGCTCCCGGACACCCACCTCGCCTCCCACTCCCACCCATCCACCCACCCGAAGGATTCATTAAGAAACACCTATCAGGTGCTAGGTCCCGTGCTAGGCACCAGGATCCAACCAGGGGCAAAACAGGGCCCTTGGCCTCCCCTGAGGCAGAGCAGCAGGCTGGAATGATTCCACAAATAAATGAACAATGGAAACCGAGATGCTCCAAAAGTGTGGCGAGATGGGCCACGAGAGCCACCAACGGGTAATTGTCAGAAGAGGCTTCCTAAAGGAAGTGACCCTTATGCTGAGTGACTCAAAGGAAGAGAAGGAGTTAAAGAGAGGAGGGAAAGGTCATGACTAAAGACCAGCCTGTGCAAAGGCCCTGTGGCAAGCTCGGGCATGGTAAGCAGGAGGGACTGAGAGGAGACTGTGTGACCGAGAGAGGGGCAGGGAATGTTGGCAGGGGCTGCAAAGGCCTCCACAGCACATCATTCCTGGAACAGGCCCTCCCCCAACTTCTCTAACAGGGCTGCCCTCTCACCTGCTCCCACCCAAATACTGCTCCCCGCCCCCCCCCCACTTCGGGCCAATGGAAGCAGCAGTCAAGAAATCAAATGACATATTGCATTGGGCAAATCTGCTGCAAAAGTGTTAAAAAGCAAAAATGTCACTTTGAGGACTGAGGTGCCCCTGACCCAAGCCATAGTATTTTCAGTCACCTCATCTGCATGTGAAAACTGGACAATGAATAAGGAAAACCTAAGAAGAATTGACACCTTTGATTTACGGTGTTGGCAAAGAATATTGAATATACCATCGACTGTCAGAAGAACGAACAAAGCTGTCTTGGAAGAAGTACAGTCAGAATGCTCCTTACAAGCAAAGATGGTGAGACTTTGTCTTACGTACTTTGGACACGTTATTAGAAGGGACCAGTCCCTGGAGAAAGACATCATGCTTGGTAAATTAGAGGGTCAGTGAAAAAGAGGAAGACCCTCAATGAGATGGACTGACACGGTGGCTGCAACAATGGGCTCAAGCATAACAAAGATTGTGAGGATGGCACAGGACCAGGCAGTGTTTCGTTCTGTTGTACACAGGGTTGCTACGAGTCAGAACCGACTTGACGGCACCTAACAACAACCACTTGGGGCATCATCTTTATTCTCCCCATCCCAGCCCATGGGCCTCTGGCTCGTAGTGCAGAGTCCCAGGCACCCAGCCACCTCCCCAAATAGAGTCCTCAGACACAGGGTGGAGTTAGGCACTAGTTTTATTTGGGACCTGATTCTAGAAGGGGTGGGCCTGGAGCCCTCCTGTCTGGGTGCTGGCCCCGGTGATCCCAGCTCATGTGGGCACCCCTTCCCCTAGATTGCCGGTGCAGATCTGCGCTAGGCCTGTGGCCACTGTTGGTTCCTTGGCTTCAGTCTGAGTCCGGGGCAGCCTGGGCCCCCACTCCACTTCCCCAGAGGCCGGTTGCATGGGCTCACGGCCCCTCCTGTCTCCTGCCAGGAGAGGCCCCCCTCACTGGGGCGTCTTTGCAGGGCTGTTGGGATCTCCCCTCCTCAGGGCCTGAGGATGGGCGCCCTGTGCTAGGGTGGCTTCCTGGTCTCCTTCTTCAGCAGGGAGCTGGCCACGGCCAAGGCACCACCCTGCACAAACCGCACAAAGTTGTCCCCAGCCAGCGGCCCCACAGCATACAGGCCCTCCTGGCGGGTGCTCTGGTAGGTGAAAGGGTCCACGTCGACAGGGTTCCTCTTGCCGTTGAGTGGCTGGCTGGGGTCCATGGCAAGATCAGCGCCTCCCCCGGGGAGGAAGGAGAGGTCAGGGTAGGAGCCAATGAGGACTAGCACCAGGGAGACGCCAAAGACCTTCTGTCCACCCTGTGGGTCACAGAACACGGCCTGGCGGTCTTCCTTGAAGAGCAGCGGCCGGTGCTCGGGGAGGCTGAGGTAGCCCTTGTAGGGGCTGGGCGACAGGATGGACTGCTCACGCATCATCTGGTGCACCTTGTGGTACTCAGGGTACAGCATCCTGGGTAGCTGGTTGAATACCAAACCAGGGTCGTCCACGGTCCGCCGGAAGGCATGAATCACCGGCACATTGTAGTGACGGGCGTACAGGACCGCATCAGCCGCTGACAGCCCCGCACCCACAATGAGGACGGGTTCTGAGGCCGGGGTCACCGCCCCCGTCTGCGTGGCCACCTCCAGGGCCGACAGCTCATGGTGGACAAAGGGCAGGGCCTCCCCGGGGATGTCTAGGTGGGCCGGGCTGTCAGACGTGCCTGTGGCCAGGACCACGTTGCGGGCGCACAGGGAGAAGGGCTGCGGGCTTTGGTCCTGGGTGGTCAGGAAGCCGCTCACCTGGAAGAGGCGGCTGGGGTCCTGGGACCCAGAGCCACCGGGCTCAGGTGTCCCCCACTCCACAGCTGTGACCACAGCGCCGCACACGAAGTTGTGGCCCAGGCCCTTCTTGGTCACATAATCCCTGTAGTAGTGGGCGATGTCCCCGGCGGTGGCTCGGCTGTTTCGGAGACCTCTACCGGAAGGATGCAGAAGGGGGGTGTCAGAGAGCAGTGTGGGGTGTGGGGGATGGGCTGGGTGGGGATGACCAGATGGCATCAGCCCGGGGGCCAGGCAGCAGCTGTGCCACCCACCGGCTGTAAGGCTGGGCCAAGGGGTTAAGCTCTGGAAACCTCAGTCTCTCTTCTGTAAATGGAGCTAATAAGTCCCCTACCTCAGGAGGGGCAGCTTAGGGCTGGGTTTTGAGTGCAGACTCCAAACCCCAATTCCTAGGTTCAAATCTTGGCTGTGCAGCAGTTTGGAGCCCTGGTGGTGCAATGGTTAAGAGCTTGGCTGCTAACTAAAAGGTCGGCATTTCAAATCCACCAGCCGCTCCTTGGAAACCCTATGGGGCAGCTCTACTCTGACCTATAGGGTCGCTACAGGGTTGGCTGTGTGCCTGTGATGCTCTGTGCCTCAGTTTCTTCGCTTGTAAACTAATGATGATGACGGTGATAGTACCCTTCTTGGCCGTTGAGAGGATCGTGGGGTTGATACTAATGAAGTGCTGAGAACAGACTGGCAGGTAGTTAGTGCCACTATTATTATTGCCTCAAAGGATTAAATAATATTCCGTGTAAACACAGTATGATTCCATTTTTATAGCATTCAGAAATTGGCAAAACCAGTCTATGGAGTTAGAGGTCAAGAGAGTGGCTGCCTCTGGGGAGGAGGATGGGGGCGGTGACTGGCAGGGGACTAGGGATCTATTTCTTGATTCTGGGTGGCTGTAACATAGGTGTGTCCCCTTTGAGAAAACCTCTCCACCTGTACATACATGAGGTGTGTACTTTTCTACATGTAGACTATATTTCAATAAAACGTTTGTTTAAAAAATGGAAAGCACTTAGCAGAGTGCCCAGCTCACATAACAGCAGCAATGGCTATTTTATTATGATTATTATTACCAACGTCCTTTCCAGGGGAAGTGATGGCGATGGCAGCAGGACCAGTGTTACGGTTAAGTTGTAGGCTTTGGTGAAATCTCAGCACCTCCCTACTCCTAGCTGTGTGACCTTGGGCGCTTTACTGTACCCAGCTTGTAGAGGTTGCTAAGGATGAACTCACTTAATGGGGAATTGTATGCGACGTGCCAACACACGTGTAGCTAAATGCCACAACTGCAGCAGGAGCTTAGACCACATCTCCTGAGACCGCTCCAGCCACCCTAACTCAGCCAATCCACGACTGTCACTTGAACTCTGGAAACGAAGTTATTTCTGTGGGTTGGTCATTTGCCCCACCTTTGTTGTAGTAAAAATTATTTTTAAAAAAACTTTCCTAAGAAGATGTTGCATACAGGGTTGTTTATAATAATGAAAAATGGACAAGAAGCTAAAAACCCTATGACGGTGGCAGCGCCACGAGGCTGTGCAGCGTGTCTGTTGTGTCTTTTTGCTCCGACACCTGAGCATAAGGCCCAGCGTATCATAAGAACTCAGTGAAGATTTGCTGAAGAGGGGCTGCTCAGCCAGCCTGGGAAGTATGATGCAGTCACGTAAAAGGACGGTTACAAGCATTATGTAATCACCATGTGAAATGCTTATGGCATCATGTGAAATGTTGAAAGTAGGATATAAAAGGGTATGTTTACAACTGAAATAGAAGTTTCTGCCTGTCTGTTAACATCATTACACAAGCCTGCATGTCTTCTACCAAGTTCTCAGGGTCAAAGACTTACAATGGCAAGGGGTCTTTGGCCCAAGAGACAGGCAGTGCACCCTGGAGCCCCCAGTGGGCAGAGGAAACAGGGCTTCCTGTACAAGGGCAGAGACCACTCAGTGGAGGTGTCTGCTGGGAGCAGCTTCTCATTCTGGCAACTCTGCGCCTCCCCCAGGAAAAGCAGGGCCTGAATTCCTTTATCCAGCAATATAGCTGTTTCTCTACGGGGCCAAGGTGTCCGGTGTGGGCATATACGGAGCTGGAAATAAGACAGGGAGAAAATGCCCACAAATGCGACGGTGTTCGGCTGAAGTGTGGGGCCGGGGTGAGTTGTCTTCCGCTTCTCAATTTTCAATTCTCTGTAGTGTAGTTATGTTTTTCATGCAAAAACATTTTTTTAAGGAACTGCACCCTCTTCTCAGCTGACTTAGAGGGAACAAGATTGTTCTACACCAGGCTCAGATAGTGGGTGGGAAGGCAGGGAGACCAGGGGACCCTGGAAGCTGGGTCAGGGCGTTGGGGGCAGGAGGGCTGGCTGTCGTTTCTCTTGGGCCTCCTTAGAGGCTGAGATGCTACGGGGAGGCCAAGTCAGGGGGTCATGTGGCAGGGTGGAAGGAGCACTGGACAGGGTGTCCTGGTGCGAGCCCAGCACTGCTGCTCACTACCCCTGTGGTCCTGGGCAAGTCCTGTCTAAGTCTAGGCCTCAGTTTCCCCTCTGGAGGATGAGGAAGGACCAGATGAGTCCTGAGGCCCCCTGAGCTCTGGCTCCTGGGCTCAGGGTGAGAGAGGCTTCTGGGCTGGCCTTACCTCCGCTTTTTGCACATCCAGTCCTTGACCTGCAGGTCTGGGAGCCCCATCCACTGGCCTTTACTCAGAGTCACTGTGGAGCCTTCAATGGACTGCGTGAAAGAGAAGGCCTTTGATCCAGACCTCTGCTATCCACTCAGAAGGAAGGCAGGGGAGGCCTTACCCGGGGCTGGTGGGAGAGGAGAGGGAGGGGGAGGCAGGTGAAAGGGGGGAGGGGAGGGGAATGAGGAGGGGCTTGGGTAGAGGTGGCCCAACCCCACTGCACCCCCCCCAACTCACATGCCAGGCGCCTCCAGGCAGGTTCCTGCCCAGCACCATGTGGGGAATGGCTCGCTCCTTCTGGCACCTCCAGGTAAGCACAGACTCTAAGTTTCCCCCAAAGTCTGTGTCTGGCCGCAGGAGGGAATCGAAGAGCAGGGCCACGGGACTTTGACACCGGCCTTCGAGGCCTTCAGACAGGTAATCCAGGTCCTGGAGGGGGGCAGAAGACAGAGAGGCCATGGGGGAAGGTGGGTTGGTTTCCTGGAGCCGAGGGGTGGGCAGGACTGTGAGGACTGGGGTCAGTCTGTTTCTCTGAGGCTGGAGGGGCCTGGTCTCACTGAGACAGCCATGCTGGGGACTGTGTGTGAGCGCTCACTTTGGGGTCTCTCCAGGAGCCCAAGGACCCCAGATCACTGGCTAAACAGGAAAGAATAAGAAGGGACTCGAGCAATTGCCTAGTCCTGCATTCCCATTCTAATATCAGGGGTCAGATGGGCTTGGGAAATGCTGCCTCTCAGAAGTAGATGATTCCCATCAGCACATTAAAGGCTCTGAAAAGTCCCGCAATGGTCATTTTACCTGTTTCATTAATGAATTACCCAGCATCTCCCAGGCCCACTGGATTAGGAACATTTTCTGGGCATATTATCCTGAGGGACCAGCGTGCTAAAGAAGGCACCAGGAACAGGCTGCTCTAGACCAAATGCCAGTCTGCTTCCCTCACTGGCCAACTCAGGGCTGAATGCCTGCCTGATGAGGGAGGTGAACAAGAAGCGGCCTCCTGGAGGTAAGGGACGTGGAGGGTGGATTTCCAGGCCCTTCTTGGAAGGGGGAGTGGAACTGAAATTTCTGGGGCAGGGTTTGTCAACCTGGGCACTACTGACATTCTCAGTGGTGGGGGTATTGTAGGTGTTTAGCAGCACCCCTGACCTCTACCCACTAGATGCCAGTAGCACCCTCCACGCAGTTGTGACAACCAAAAATGTCTCCAGACATTGCCGAATGTCCTCTGGCTACAAATGTTTATTTTATTGAGCGCTCCCAGTAACTTCAGCAAGGAAAATGTTGCTCTTTTTCTCCTCATACTTGAGGAAACTGGGGCACAGAGAGGTTAAGTAACTTGCCCATGGTCACAAAGCCGGCAAGTAGAAGAGCAAGGATTCAAACTTGGACAGAGGGGACCCCCGAAAACACAGCCAAGATGTTCTAGGGGTGATGAGACAAGCTGATGTGGCAGTGGGAAGTGTCAAAAGAAAGCCTCACTTTCTCTTTCACAATTTCCGGAGCTGATTTTGTGACCTCTCATGTTCAGTGTTTGGCCTCATTTCCTGCAAATGCACTCTCCTTTTCCCCTGGGAAGCTAGGATATTCTCCCGAGACGGTGGCCCACCTGGTCCAGGATGGAGACCCCTGGTGCCTCGGTGAGCTTCCTCTGCAGCAGGGGATGAGGATGAACGGCGCCTGGCTTCAGGTAGGGGGTGTAGCCTGAGAGCAGGTAGGATAAGCAGATGCCCGAGGGGCCGTTGCCTGCGGGGAGAAGGCAGGGGTTAATGTGGGTGCAGGGATGGAAAGAGACCATTGCCGAGGGCTTTGGTCATTATTTGACTCATTCATTCACTTACCCTTTATTCATAAAAATAAAAATCAAGCATTTATTAAGCCTTTAGCATAGTCCAGGTGCTGTGCATAATAATAATTGATGAAAAAGTAATGAACAATCATTGACAGCTTACTATGTCCCAGCTACTGTACTACGAGCATTGAACAACGACAATAATAAAGTAATGGTAATAATAGCTAACATTATTGAGTGCTTACTATGTGTTAAAGGAGCCTCGGTGGTGCAAAGGTTAAGCACTTGGCTGCTAACCAAACGTTGGCAGTTGGAACCCACCCAGCAGCTCTGCAGGAGAAAAACCTGGTGAACTGCTTCCATAAAGATTACAGCCAAGAAAACCCTATGGGGCAGTTCCACTCCGTCACATGGGGTCATTATGAGTCAGAATTGACTCAACAGCACCCAACAACAACAACCATCAGTCAAAAGTTGTGTCAAGTGATTTTAGTAATAAAAATAATAATAAACCGACAGATGGAGATGGTGTACCAGGCCCCACATGAGCCCTAAAGTGCATGCATTATCTTATTGAGCGTTCCCAATAACTTTAGCAAGAGAAATACTACTCTTTTTCTCCTTTTATACTTGAGGCAACTGGCACAGAGAGGTTAAATAACTTGCCTGTGGTCACACAGCCAGCAAGTAGAAAAGGGAGAATTCAAACCCAGACAGAGGGGACCCTCGGGAACACGATGGAGATTTCAAGATCACTAAGAACTGGCCCCGGCCCCCGAAAGCTGATAGTCTGGTGGGTCAGACGAACAAGTCAGATATTATACTACAGATTGTAAAGTGTCTGGGTGGGTGAGCCCTGGGGCCAAGGGGGTTCAGGAAGGCTGCTAAGCCACCTGTGGGGCCAGCTGCCTCCAACTCTGAACATCCATAGAACTGCCTGTCTGTGGCACTTCTTGGGCAATTAATCAGGTCCAACCTCGTGACAGCTCTTCTATTCTTATCTTTTTTTTTCTCTTCTTTTTCTAATCTTGTACTATTCAGAGTATTACCTATCCATAGAATACCATCAGGATGAACCATAGGAAATCGCCAACATCAAACTGATTTGACTCACAAAATTGGCCATTCCGTGTGGGTCCACCTGCTGCCTGCATAGGGGGATCGTCTGTGCCCCATTTTTGCAGGCCCCTGAGGGCAGAGGCCACATGCTACTGCTGTATGTCCCCTCAGTGGGCATTTAGCACAGTGCCAGGCACAGGGTACACACCGGGCAGACATGCTGGACCTGATGTAGTCCTGGGAGCATATGAGGGCATGAGATTCAGGAGCAGAGGACCCTGTGGCCATGCCCTGGCTCCCTCCACTCACTAGCTGTGTTTCCTTGGGCAAAGCACCTCCCCTTGCTGACCCTCAGTTTCCTCATCTGTACAATGGGGACAGCAGTGGCCATAGCTGCCTTTCTTTGTAGGAAGGATCTTCCAAGATGGTAGAGGTGGTCAGGAATGCGTGCGGCTTTTCTGAACTGTCCACCAGATGTGTAATGTGAGCCACGATGTGATGTTCAATGTTCTAGTAGCCACATTAGAAAAAGTAAAAGGAAACTGGTGAAATGAATTTTAATGATATAGTTTTAAGCCCACTGATGAAAATAAAAAAAGTATTAACGAGATATTTTAACTCTTATTTTCATACAAAGGCTTTGAATTTTCGTATGTATTTTACACTTTAGGAGTCCCTGAGTGGCACAAATGATTAAGCACTCAACTACTTGCCGAAAGGTTGGAGGTTTGGACCCACGGAGAGATGCCTCAGAGGAAAGGCCTGGCTATCTGCTTCTGAAAGGTCACAGCCTTGAAAACCCTGTGGAGCAGTTCTACTCTGCACACATGGAGTTGCCATGAGTCAGAGTCAACAGGAACTAACAACAACCACAGTTTTACACTTACAGCACATCTCAAAGTGGACCAGCCACGTTTCACGTGCTTGGTCACCACACGTGGCCGTGGCCATGGCCACTGTACTGGGCAGTGCAGACTCAGAGCTTAAGAGTGCAGGCTTAAGGACCAGGCCTGCCCTCACCCTGCTGGATGATCCTTCTGCTCTAGCCTCATCTGTTCTTGAGAGGATTAAATGGGATAGTGTTTTATAAATCGCTAAGCATAGCTCCAGCCACATAGTAGACACCCAATGGCTAAATTAAAGACGCCAGGTGTAAAGGGAGGCCAGGCCTGGCTTTGCCCAGCTCCTGACCGCAGACCTCCATGGGCACCCTGTGCTCAGTGTCAGACCTGTCCCTGCCCTGGGCACCCCACTCACCAATGATGATGACTGCAAGGGGCTCTGAGCTGCTGGCGCTGAGGTGGTCCTTCCTTGCGGAGTTCATGGCTGCAGCTGGTGGGGGGTTCAGTGCTGGCAGCCGACCTAGGGGAAGAGGTCAGGCCTGGGCGTCACTTCCCAGCTACAGGGCAGCCTCTGTGGACTCAGGGTGGAGTCCAAAGTCCCCTGGAGGAATAATGACTCCCCTTCTCCCTTCTCCAAACAGGCCTGTCTCCCTGGACCCTGACTTATGCAGTAATCCCACCCAGCCCGCTCCCTCTTCTCCCCTAGCCTCGTCACCTGGGCAGCCTCCAGCCCTCCAAGCCTCACTGCCTACTGATCCTGGGGCAGTAATCATACCTGCAGCTGGTTATCTATTGCTGCCCCACCCAAGGTCAAGCCCTGCCCAGTCCCCATCATGGTCCAGCAGTGCAGCCTGTGGACTTTGGGGCCATCACCTGGGCCTAGTGAGCTGCTTCCTAGCAGGGCAACCCTGGACCCATTCCTGGACGTCTGGGGCTCTGTTTCTTCATCTGCAAACTGGACAGTCTTCTACAGTGCAGTGGTTAAGAACTACAGCTGCTAACCAAAAGGCTGGCAGTTCAAATCCTCCAGCTGCTCCTTGGAAACCCTATGGGGCAGTTCCACTCTGTCCTATAGGGTTGCTATGAGTCGGAATCAATTCCACGGCAACGGGTTTGGTTTGTTTTTGTTTCGTTTTGTTTTTCTACCTCATAGGGTTGTTGGGGGACACAGTCAGATAACGGACACGAAGCACCTGCCAGGGGCAAATCTGCCACTGGGAAAAGATGAGGGCTTATTTCCATGGAAACTTTGGAAGCCAGAGCCACTTGGTTTAGGGAAAGGCTGAAAGCCTGCTGTTCTCTGGAGCACCAATGCCCCCTGCTGGCCACTAGCCCAAATCACTCGAATGGACCCAAACACGGTTCTCAGGGCTGCAGGGGCCTGGGGACCCTGGGGGCCCACTCCCCCAACCCAGCGAACAGTGGCCATCGGCTTCACCCACTGTCTACCTGATTGCCGTCTGAGGACCACAGGACAGTGTGGGATGATTGGTGGTTAGCATTTTCCTCATATCATCCTCACACTGACCCCCTGGGGTAAGTGCTACCACTGCTATTAGTCCATTTCATAGCTGCATACACTGGGGCTCAAAAGGGTGTACAAGTGACTCGGTGTCACGTGGCCAGCATTTTAGCCCAGGGCTGACTGGTGCCCAGGCCTTGCCTGTAACCTCTGTGCTACCGTCTATCCCTGCAGGGGAACCTGGGGCGCATCAAGGTAAGAGGCTGAAGCGGGTGGGTGCAGGGCCTGGCTGGGGGCCACAGGTGCCTGCCCAGAGCATGGGCCCAGAGCCCCCAGCTTGTGGAATTGTTCCAAAGAAGATGGAAATCTGCATTTTTTATGTGATTTCTCTGATTTAGGAGAGTGGGTGATCGATTCACATTTTTGGAAAATCTCAAACAGGTGCTATAGCAGGGCTGAGGCCCGTGTGCAACCTCTGATGTGTGCAGAGGGACAGAAACCCCAGGTCCATTGCCGGGCAGGTTCCCACAGACGGATGAGGGGCAGGCGCCTGAGCAGGCCAGTGAGAGGAGCTGGGCACTGCCTGTGACGACAACCGCGGACCTCGCACAGCACTTCACATTTTATGAGGAGGTTGCACCTAAGTGATGGTGTTTGGTCCTCTTGGTGACACTGAGAGGTGCAGTGGGTGGCCTCAATCTTGCAGGTGAGGAAAGGGAGGCTCGGGGGTGAAGGACGTGCCCAGCGTCACACCACAGCATTGGGGGGGTGGCAATTCAGGGGCCCGGGCTCCCTCAAGGGTGCTCTCACGTGCCCTGTGAATAACCTTCCTTGCCTGTCCAGGTCAGGCCCGAGTCCCCAGTGTCCAGAGCCTCCCTCCCTTGCCGGGGATATGATAGGAACCTCGTGGCCTCCATGCCCTGTTTTTTCCAGGGCCCACATGCTGTCTACCTGAGGAAGGTTTTGGAGTGAGTGACATCATTGCCACCAATAATAATAAACAGCCATGGAGTTGACTATGTGTCAAGCATGTTCTAGGTGCTTTGTGTATGTCAACTCATGGAGTCCTTATTTAATTGGGCTGTTGTAAGTACTCTTACAATCACTCCCAGTACCAATGGGGAAACTGAAGCCCAGAGAGCTTCTCATGGCTGGCTTTCACAGTCTGCAAGGAGTTTGCCCAAGCTCGCACAGGCCACACTGGATTGGAGTCCAGGGCTCTCTCTGTGCCCCAGGAGCCCTCCAGGCCAAGCTTGTCTCTGATCGCCCCGCAGCTTGGTCCCAGCGCTGGTGCCAGCACATAACTGGTGCTCCCAGACCAGACAGTCTCCCACTGAGGGGTGCTGGCTGGCCAGTCTGCCCTGACAAATGGGACCAGAGTTCCCAGGGCACTTTCTCCTGGCACCCCTCTTGGCCAAGGGGCCTCCACTCCTCATCTTTGCTGTCTTGGGGAATAAGGGCAGGAGGAGTACATGGCGCATCCTTGCTTAGTGCTATCCACCTGTTGTCTCCTTCAATCCTCCTGGGGAGGGGGCTCCTTCTTCCACCTTACAGATGGGGAAACTGAGGCTCAGGGAGATGAGGTCACTTCCTGAGGTGGCAGAGCCAGGATTTGATCCCTGTGGGCTAAGCTCACAGCCATGCATGGAACCTGGACACCACCTATCCCTCCACCCCCACCAACGTGCTCCACCTGCCCGGGCCACACCCTCCTTCTCCCTGTCCCTTTGTGTTCACCACCACCCGATAAGGAGGGGGAACTTGTGGGAGCCCCTTGTTGATGGATGAGGAGTCCAAACTTCTTGCCCCTTTGAACCTTTGTGAGAGGTGCAGGAGCCTGACTTAACAGCCAGGACTTTTGGACTCCAAGTCAAGTGCTCTCTCCCGGCACCACCAGGATGCCACAGTCATGAGGTCACACAGTCCAGGGCTGACCCATCGGTCACTTCCTGTGCAGAAAAGCTGCCTGGAAGCCCAGATCCCTGAGAGCTCTCCCACCTCAGAGAAGACCCGCTGAAAACACAGAAAATAACGTGAAAGCTTCACGCTTTTCCATTTCTTTCCCAATTTTACGATTTAGGAAGTTGGAAGCATCCATTTTTAACTTCTGAAGTCCCTCTGAAGATGGCAAATGTTACTGAAAAAAAGTTAAAATTGAGAATTGACTATTCGAAATTCACAACACCAAGTAAGCATAAAAGAAACGGAAATAATGACACTTTCACATGGTGTTGTGTTCACGTTCCTGGCATTGACCATCCAGAGGCTATCAGAGCTTAAAACTGCACCAAAACTGCACCAAGCCAATACACTTGTATTGGCTGCACTTGCTGAGCACGTCTCTGGCCCTCGGATCATCTGACTTCGGGGACAGCCCTGCAACATGAATTTTCTTGTGCCCATTGCACAGTCGGGAAAACTGCGGTGAGGAGAGGAACGCCCGATTCCAAGCCATGAACACAAATCCTAGTTCTGCCCTCATACCCGTGCGACCCTGGCCGAGTCCTTGGACCTCTCTCAGTAAGAAGTGTGATCGCAGTGACACCGAGAAACACCACGCCAGCCGGGCGTGGGCGGGAGGCGGCTGTGAACTTGCTGCCGCAGGACCTCCCCTAGCGCTCCGCCCCCAGTGCCACCTCCCTCCCAGGCGATCCCACCGGAACCCAAGGGTCTCCCTGGGTTCCCAGCCCTCCAGCTCAGCACCCTCGAGCCTGCTGTAGGAAGCGAGTCCCTGGGGTCCCCGTGCGGGGCTGAGGATCCGCACAGTGTGCTCTGTCCGGCGGGCGGCTGGACCCAGCGGGTTCAGCAGAGTGCTGGCGGCCACACCTCCTTCCCGCCTAGAGGGCAGTCACGTGGGCCAGGCGGGTGGGCTGCGAGGCAGTAGCTAGGTCAGGGTGCCCAGCAGCTAGTGGTGAGCCTGGCAGGGGGAGACGTGGGCAGGGCTGGGTGGGGGTGCCCGGGGTCTCGGGACTTCCTGGGGTCCCGCCCAGCTCCAGGGCCTGCAGACCCGGGCCCAGCTGGCTACCCTTGCAGAGACGCGGCCGCCGCCCCCAGGCCTGGCGGGGGTCACTTACCTGATGGGCAGCGGGCGGAGGGAGCCGGCCAGCCTAGCCAGCTGGGCACACGAGGCAGGGGTCACGGCGCTCACCGCGGGACTAGGACGACCGTCGCCCGTGGAGACCCGACAGGCAGTGAGAGGCGAGGGGGAAGCTAGGGTATTTCACGGAGAGGCGGCGGGCGGGGCCGGCCAGTCACTTTCATCAGCGTGACTCAGCAGGCCTTGGATGAATGAATTTGTACACGCGAAGGCGGGGGCACGCTGCGAGCCAGGGCGGCCTTGAAGGGGCCCCGCGGCGGTCACCTGCCTCCTGCCGGCTGGCTCCCTCATCCCACTCAGCTTCCACCCAGCAGCCCCTCTTCTCCACCCCCGCCCCCAGCCTGCCGAGGCTGGGAGCACAGCTCTGCGCCTACTTGCTGGGGGACTCTGGGCAAGCTGCTCATGGCCAAACCTCAGTTTCCTCATCTGAAAAATGGGGCTAAGGAACAGCCTCTCCTGCCTGCTGTGGGTGTGGGCTTAATGGAGATCACTTGTCGCGCATGCTGACCACAGGAGACCCCTCCCAGTTTATATCCCTTTCTTCTTTATGTTTCCTCTTTAGCAGGTATCCCTCGCACCTCACAACTTGCTGGTTGTTATTTAGTCTTGTTTGTTGTCTCTCTCCCTAAACTAGCATGTGGGCGCTGTGTGGGCAGGGAGTTAGGTCTCCCATGTCTACAATAGTGCCAGGCACAATAGTGGACACTCAGTATTTGTTGAAAGGAAGGAAGGAAGTTAGAACTGAGTCTGGTCCATAGTGCTCAGCACCTATTAGCTGTTATTTCTGTTATTGATGCTACTGTCCCCTCATCACCCTGTCAGGCCTGGGGGCACGCCTCCTAGCCCTGTTCAGCCGCATGGCAGTGGGGGCCACCAGCCCTGGTACCAGGGTGGAGCAGGTGAGGCATTCACCTGGGGCACAAAATTTAAGGGAGAGCCAAAGAAACTCA